TGACATCTGTGGAATGAGAATATTTCTTCTCTCTCAACCTTTGGCTGTCTTATCTATTTAGGGAACAAATTCTCAAGCCAGAATAATTTCATACAATGCATCTGTACAGCGCTGAGAATAAGGCAATTGTTGTCTTTGTTGCATTGTTGTCGCTGCAGAACAGCGGTGGTTTGCAGAAAACACAAGCAGGGAAAAGCAACCCTTGCTTAGCTTAATTTAATTATTAGGAACTCTTTAGCATAAGTGAATAAATTATTGCTCTATTTTTACTTGATGCTACCTTGCTCTGTTTTTACCAAAAGGGAATATAGGGGGTTTCTGTAAGTGGGGAATTGATTAAAACAAACGACTACACGCTACGCTGGTACAAGAGTTGTTTAGTGCCAGCTGACAGCGAAGCTAGCTGCAAGCTTAAACTACAATTATTGTATATAGCCAACAAGAATCAGGTACTCCGCTTTATTAACCTTATACAAATTCAGAAATGCCTACAAAATGAATACATACATTGAATTTAAGAAGTACGATGGTCTCGTTTAACAGGACAGCTCTGCAGAGCTTTCTCCCAGGTGGAGCTCCCCAGCACCAGCCGGCTCTGGTGTGCCAGGTCACACTGACAGGGTAAGCTGGCAAGCACGGGCAGATTCAAAGCTGAAACGAGTTTGTCTGTTAATGGTGGTGTGGACCACAGAGCAAAATAAAAGCCTGCCTAAGAATTTAAAAGTTTTAAATTAATAGGAATCCCTGCCTCGGTTACAAAGAATACTAGTTTGCTGTAAAAGGAGCAATGCCAGGTGAATGAATGATCAGAGACAAATTTAGCAGTGCAACAACCACAAGTACAATCAGTACTAGTGTATCTTTCCTGCCTGAAGATGGAACCAGTTAAAACCACACCATTCCTGGCAGATGCTTGTCTAACCTGTGCTTGAGAAATTCCACAGATGGAGACACTGCACCTTCCCCAGGCAATCTATTCCTGGGCTTAACCATCCTTACACTTAGGAAGTTTTTCCTAATGTCTATACTAATCTCTGCTGCAATTTAAGCTCATTATGCCTCGTCCCAGTCCCAGTGGACATGGAGAACAGTTTATTCCCTTCCACTTTGCAGGTAATCACAGGAGACTCTGAAGACCTATTACATCCCCTGTGTTGCTATCATGCGTTAGCACATTTGTATCTTTTGATGCTATAGAAAAAAGTGCCACACATATAGCCTTAAGGAAATAAGACATATTTCACAGGAAGTGCCTTTAGCATATTAGTTATAAGAGTATCTGGCAAGTCCTGTATTTGACTTTTCATTTCTAAATTCTAGATATCTAAATGTATTATAAAGTATCACTTAAATAATATTTTGAGCAAAGAAGCCTGACACATTTCAAAGTAAATGCCACTTTGCTGGAGGACTAGATGTTATATCAGTTGCATATTGAACTAAAAAATTCCTAGTGTTGTGGTTATGATTATACTAAACAACATAAAAGCAGCTAATGGTGTAATCACTAGAACAGATGTCTGCTAGTCAAAAGAAATAGGTTCTGCTCCAGACCGCTAATACCCATCACTGATGGTGGACATGTCGTTTAGGTCCACATTTGCAAGAGTATCCAATAGTAGAAACACCCAGCTTTTGCACATCTATCTTAACAGGTGCACCAGCTGAATTACTGTTGAACTGAGTGACTACGTGACTCCAGAACAGCTACAGAAAATCCTTCGTTTTCAAGGCAGTAAAAACTACTGGACACTTACAAAAGTGTGAGACAGTTAAGGAAGATGGACCTAGCAACAGCTACACAGCTTTGGAAAGGTCATTCTCAGCGGCATCACTTAAGCCTGTATGTTCGGAGCTCAGAGTTCAGCTTTGAGCTCAGAGCAGGGACTGGTTTTGCTTGGGAAAACGCCCATCTAAAGGACACATTTTTTTAATATATATTTATTATAATTGCAGCAGCAGCACAAAACATCATGTCTGAGATGTAGCAGAGCTCCAGACCTGTGTGTAGTAACCATACACTGATTATCTTGAAGTACTGGCCAACTGGAAAAAGTACACTTACCAGCACGCTTTTGTAACATTCAGGGCACAGATGCCACTTGGCTTCTAATACCACAGTGTTATGAGGCTCTTGTGAGAGACAACCCGTGATATTTTTTCCTGCAAGCAGTCAACAGTGATTGATGACTCTATTAGAATGACAGCTATGACTCCATGTTTTCTGTATGGCCCTCAACACCATGCAAAAAGCAATGACTTAAGGAGCTTTTTTAGATCTCAATTCCTCTCATCAAGAGTCAGTATATCCTCTTTGTTTGGCTGCTTGTTATATAGGTCAGAAAAGCCTTGTTTCATGATTTCTCCAGCTTACGAACCTCTGCCTTGACCTGCATTTCTAGAAAAGAGCTAATAAAAGGAAGATTAATATTGTAAAAGAAATATCCGTATTCCAACTGCACATATTCGTACCTAGCATACGGACACAGCTGTAGCCCTGACCAACTAACGTTTCTCTTCTCCTCCGTTATGCCCGGTTGTCTCACTATTTTCTACAGACTCTTTGTTTGTTTCAAGCATTTACATAAAACACCAACACACCACAAGGAATTTTCCTACCATTTTTAAGCCAAAATAGAGCTAGTAAGTCCAATCCGTTTCTTCCTAAATATCCTGGGCTACCTTTGTCCACTGAAGCACGCAGATCTCAGTACATCAAGCGTTTACAGTTTTTTCCCCCCCCGATACTTACCAATGAAAAGTTGCACAGGTGGCATCATTTCCAGGTTATGTTTGTGTCTACTTTGTTAACCAAACTATTTGGAATTCCCTGAATTCTTTCTTTGTTTTCCCCTACTTTCTCTAGCTCTTATTTCACTTTGTTCCCCACAGTTCTACACCCCTGTACATCCCCACTCAATGCTCTCTCCATTTCACATGTTCCTTTCTCCACATCATCGCTAAACCACCTTTTCATTAGTCCCAGCCTGTTTCTGCCTTCACACATCATTTATTTGGACCCCTTCACACATAATTTATTTGGACCCATCCTCACTTTGGGTCTCTTTTCTCTGCAAGCAGGGTCACTGTTGTACTTCTAGGTAACAACAAAATAATTTTTTTTTTGTCAGCTCAAGCTTGTATTTTGTAATATTATACTCTCTCAGCTGAGAGGAGATGGGAGAAGCAACAGGTACTGTGTATGTTTGCTCTGCAAATATGCATGTACTTAAATCTGCACACACATACACAGTGTGGTCTGGGACCCTGGAACGCCGACAGTGTTCTTAACACGAAGTCTGCTGTGGCAACCTACAGTCTTCCCTCAAACCAGGGATTTTGCTTACTATTTCTTTGCTAGTCATTCTTGCAGAAACCTTTGGTTCCCATGTTTAGGCCCCAGACCCTATGTATCAACTCATTCCTCAAGAAAAACAAACAAACAAAAAAACCCCAAGCCAAAAGCCAAGGGGTCATCACTTCCTAAGCTGACATCAAAAATTCAGCCTTTGCCCAATATCACGGAGCCATGTACCGTCCATGCAAAAAAAAACAATTAAAATGGGAGGAAATAGGGATGGTGTACATCTGTCAGAACAGAGGCTGGATGCTGCTACTGGAGTGACAGCATTATTCATATTTAATTCAGCAAGATTGTTAATTTTTTCAAACCTATCAAAACCAGTTTATATTATCAAAGAATCCATATCTAGCTGATGACAAATAATAAAGTATTTCACATACAACTCGTTTACTATCTCTATCTGGTAACAACTCAAGTTTGTTAGCTTTCTGCACACACAGAGCCCAGCTTCCTCTCCATCACCACCTTCTTTGGAACAATCCGTTACCATTTCTGTTGTCAGCAAGTTTGTTTTCTTAAAGGTAATAAACTACGCCCACTGGCTACGCAGGCACCGATAACTCAGAAGAAGTTGGAAGTATGAATCCAATCACCGCTTCAAAATACCCACACCTTAATCATCTTTGATAAGCCTCATAGGAGTTTTGTTCTGTCCCTCCTTACCATTCACTACAAAGCGAATACTTAAGTATTAAGTACTTCCCAAACACTTGATACAAGCTATTAGGAGAGCAGTCTGACAGTCTGTTCTGCAAACAAGAGTTGGATGAGACTACTTTTATTGGTGGTACTAACCAGAAAGCATTTATCTTTACTTCCACAAACCAGTCAGGAATGTGCACCACTGAATATATTTTTTAGCAGAAGATGGATTTGCAGGTTTAGTCTCTTGATCAGATCTACATTCCTGTTTAGAACAAACACACACAGAGTGTCTAAGTTGTTTTTCTACTACTACTTTCCCAAGAAATTTTTAATTTGTTCAAGCATCTTCTCACACCTACCCCCCACTCCAAAATCCTCAAGAGGCTGACACAAAATTTGATTACAGATTAGACTTCTTACCAACTGGCAATAAGGCAAGCAAGACATTCAAAGAAACAGCATGTTTTCATGGGGTTTTGTGGCCAGAATGACATTTCCACTCTGAGAAACTCCTCTTTTCTACCTTTCCACTTGTGTTACTCCACAAACCCTGGGCTACCAGGTCAGATCTGCAGACTTCAAACAGACCACTCAGCTGTAGGCTGAAACTCTACATTTGCTCCCCTCTACCCTCAATTCTTCCCAAGCATCATTAATTTTAGGCTTTTATGCAGTACGTGGAAAAAAAACAAAGTACCATGTGTTCAAGTTCTTTCCTCCAGAAACAGTTAACAGTTTTCCAGTAACAATCAAGTCACTGAGATAAATAAGCCCACCTAATACAACTTTAGGCTTTCATAGCCCTGTGAAAACATTGCCTGGAGAGCCAACATCCCCAGGCAATGAAGAAATTCCCTGTTCATCTCATTGGAAAAAGACAAAAGGCTCAGAAATTTTCCATCAGGAAGATCTAGAACTCAAGAATTCTTGCAACTTAAAGGTTTGGTCTTAATGTTTGTTTCACAAACAGAGAAGGTTGTTACACAAAGTAGTTTTCAAAAAACTACAGATATTTATTGAACAATTATGATACTACTGGAAGTTTTCATAATTGGATACTACAAAATGTGGTAAGTTTTTATAAAGGTATACGCAAAGTTGCCTACAGGACTGAACTAATTTAGCTACAAACAGCAGATAAAGAAAACATTTTCACTAACATAAGCAGAAAAGTAATGACAGATTAAGACATACTACAAATACAAACAAATATTTCTTAGTAAGAAACAACACCAGTACAAAGATTGTTCTTCCCACTTCTATTGTTTTAGTTTAGTCTTGTTAGGAACAGGTGGGCACCTCTTGTAGAGAAGAAGTATCACCAGAAGTCTAAGTAGACCTGAAATAAATAAATTGTATTTCAGCAAACAATTTTTAGAGTAATCATAAGCAGGTAAAACATTCAACTTTCTATAAAAGCAGAAATGTGTAGAAAGACCGCTTTCACTTGTATCAAGATACAATAGATAATAATTTAGTGATCAAAAAGCTGATCTTGCCAAGTTTTCTTTATGTAATATGGCACCATCTTGATGCATTTAAGAATGCATCGTGCAGAAATGCTAAGTGATTTAAATTAATATGCAAAGAGATCACTATGAAACAACTATTAGTCCTCTGTCCTAAGTAACTTATTTTTAGAATAAACCAGAGATGACTCACACTACTGTAACATTAAAATATATGCATCATTCTTAGTGCCCTAAGGTTGGCACAAGCAACTTGTAAATGTCAGAAAAGCATATAAACCTTGTTAATGTTTTCAGAAATTCATTTAAAGATAGAAACAGGTCCAGAAAGATGCCTGTCTAAATGCATTGCAATTACGTTACAATTATTTTCCAAATACACAGATATGCTCTGTCTTTTCTCAGCTCATTACTGACTCAAACAATTTGCCCTTCTGGGATCAATTGTTTGCTAATAAATAATTGTTTACAGTCACAAAATGATATTAAGGAGTATTCTTATTAGTTTTCCTTCTACAGCCTAATAAGATTCAAAACTAGCTGATTCCCAAGAGTCTAACCTTAACCTTGCTGTGTTTAACAGCCCAGGAAATGATGAACCATCTGTTTCAGAAAATAATGGAGGGCCAAGAGGAAATATTGTTTAATTGTAGATTAACCTCCTCATAGGGCAGAATGAAGCATCTACAGAATTAGCAACCATAACTAGCAATGAACAAAAATAACTGAAAGCAGCTCTTACTATTACAAGACCAAGAGCAGCAAATATTCTTCTATCACCTTTTTTTTTTAAACCCTCCCAAATGTATGTAACAAGTAAAACCTGATTTTAAAAACAGATTTCAATAATCACCTTTGGGGTTTCTTTGGGTGTGGGGTTTTTTTGCTTGAGGAAGCCCAGAAATAAATACTGAAATAGTTCTGGTTTTATTTTTCCACGAGCATCAAAATTATTTTAAAACAAACAACTCCAAGTGAAAGATGATGTATTTATTCTTCTGTAACTTCCTCTTCACCATCTCCACAGTGATAAAATGGCTGCTCCAAAGCAATATACAAGTCACTTAAGGAAGGGGGGGAGGTCTCGAGGTTTTAAACTCAGGAACTTTGATTACTTATGTGCGTCTATTTACGTAGCCACTTAGATACTAAATAATGAAGAAAACCAGATGAAGTGTAAGACACTGAGTAGTAGAAGAAAAAAAAAAGCCACAGCTGACAAACCACAGGAATTTGAAAATAAAAACAACTGCTCCTGTGCTAGCATAATGAAGAGTAGTGCAATTCTGCACTGTGACGGCAATTTTTCTATGTAACATTCATGCCAAAGCGAGCTTAACAGAAATCTTTCACCTTCATCAATCAGTTTGCCCCATTTTGACAGCAACAATGATAGAAAAGTGTGTTATCAGAGGGCTGCAGCAAACTCCAATACACGGGAACTGAGAAAGCTTTTCCTTGATTTTACACAACCTTCCTAGAACAGTATCTAGATTCACTTCGAACTGTGACAGCTAGGTGCATACTCAGTGTGTAAAGATTTCATTAATTCTAAGTTTTAAATATCCAAACACAGTAGCATTTACACAAATAAATTATTCTTGAATTCTTCCCTGAATTCTTGAAGCAATGAGCTAGCAATAACTCCACAGCTTCATATAATAGCACCTATTCAAAAAGGATAAGAGTTTGACATTCTTCTCCTACTAAACAACTAGGCACAATTTTATCCATCAGATGTCTTTCAACCTACGGATATTGAAAGCTTGGGCGAACAAGATAAAATCAAAACCAACCCTACTGTCAAGCTGCACTATCTACTGGCATCAATAATGCTATTCATGAATTTAGGAAAATTAATAAATCTTGGGATGAATGCTCAGAAAGGCTCAAATACAGGTGAAGCATACTCACTTAGGTTTTGTTTCTGCATCTGTCACTTGGCGAATATAGATACCATCTTCGGGATGTTCGATGTCATCCATTTCATACATATATGAAGAAGCTATTGCAAGGGTAGTTCCATCGTTGCTGAAGGCAAGTGATGCTATGCTTGTGGGATACCGATGGAACTGACACAGCCGCTTTTTATTAAATGGATCCCAAATATTCACAAATCCATCAGAACCGCCTGAAAATTAATTTTTAAAAACCGTTTGTAAATTATAATTGGGAGAGCGGCAAGACTGAAAAGATACAGCAAAGGAAAAAAGAGAAAACTACCTGGAATTACTTTGTCAGTAAAAACACGAGTTATACAGAGCTGCGTAATTTAGTAAAGAGCACAGCGAGTATTTCCCAAAATCCCTGTTAAAGCAATTAACTCTCACTGCGTCAAATAATTTAAAAACTCTGCTCATTGCAAGAAATATGACTTACATGCTTAAAAAGTAAGGGCATATGAAGTAAACGCTAACCTGTTTAAATCAAAACTAAGGAACTGATGCAAGTGTTACAAAAAATCAAGTATCTACCTGTAGCAAACGTGTTGTGGACATTATGGAAAGAAATAGCATTAACTGGATAAATCTGCTCAATGTTATTTTCCTTCAAACGGTGACATTTGAATGCATATTTCTTCTTCTGGATTTCTGGACTTGGATCCAAATACTCCACCGCAACACGACCTTCAATAGAGCTTAAAACATAACCCTACCAAAAAAATTTGGAGATACGCATTTTAAAAGTTTACAACTGGAGAAGAGATTGCAATACAATTTATCTTATACCCCTCTAAAGTCAAATAAATGAAATGTAAACAGTCTTAAATTGTGTACAACCAGAAATTGTTACCATAGATCCATGGCATCATCAATAAAATCTGCTTCTAAGAAAGAAGTAATGCAGAAAAAAGCTTTCTGAGAGATTCTCATTGTACCATAGTTTTAAGCTGACAGTGAGGCTTTTAATTACCCCTGCAGATCAAAACACAAGTTGGTTTGGGGAAAAAAATGTTAAGAGTTAAGAACCCCTTGTATTTGCCCACCTAACCCCTGGGGCCTAAATATCTCAAATATTAGAGATAGTCACGAGACTATTTAGTTTCAGAATTACATTAAAATTAGAAAAGAGCTTTATACTAGCAACTAAACACTCAAGCTGAAATAGTATTTTTAGTGAAACTCGGTTATAAGTGGTGTCCACTTATCCAGTTAGTTACAGTCCTGACTTAGAGCAACCTGAGATGCCTTTATTATAACTTCCGAGTTAAGCCCATAATAGACCTTTTCAGAAGTAGGACTGTAATGGTATCTAGCTATAGCAAGGCTCTTTAAAACCCATAATACAACACAATCTGGAAGATCAGCTTTTTTTACTATAATTAGAACTGAAAATGGACAAAGCGTTTATGCCAGTTCAAGAACAAGTAACTAAGTCCCCCAATTCCTGTACTATCACTATGTACATGGGAAAATTCCCTTCCAAATTTGTCAGAAAAAGCTAATCTTCTTGCTTTACTTCAGAAAGAGAAATACCACAGATCCATGTAGGTTAACATAGTGTAACAGCTGTATGATCATTTAAATTGTACAATTCCACCTTGATAACGGATCATGGGTTCTTGAGTGCATGACACAGACTCACAGTTAAAAAAAAAGGAAGAAAAATGTATAAACGACATTCATAGTTTTAAACCTGCCCCTGTTCACAGCATGTTGAAGAACCTAGGGCTACAACGCATAAAGGCTGCTGAGCAACTGCCAATTCTGTCTTCCTCTCTTCTACTGCAACTCGGGGGGGGGGGGGGGGGGGGGGGGGGGG